AAAAAAGCTAATGCTTCCAGTGATACTGCCGTAGACAATACTAAAGATGAAGTAAAATGAAAAATAGCCCTTTTAACGTACAAGCATTAGGTCTCTTAGCATCTGAACATGTTAAGCCACTGCTGCGGTAAGGGTAAATTCAGGCAACAGAAACAAACATAGCTTTCTCTCATGTGAGGCTCCATCAGCAAGGCACACGTTGCTTTGGATACTTTGGGATAGAGCTTCAGCAGTAAGCCGTCTTTCTATAGCCGTTTTAGTATAGAGTGGACAAACAGTGCCATGAAAACCAACTTGCCTTCTCAGAGGTCAGCACATGTGAAACTGCCCAGCTCAAGGTTTTGCTTTTCTGATACAATCAGTGCTACACTAGTGTGGTTCAGATGTCAGCTATTCCAATAGCTTAGCTCTAGTTTTTGCAGCGCTTCAGTTCAGTCAAAGTACTAAGATATATATTTATCATCAGGTTTAGAAGCTACGTAGAGAGATCAAGGCAGTGTGGTGCCTGCTCCAGTTATTTCAGAATCAAAACTAATTGTCACAGACGTAGATAGCACTAACAGAAATGTATGATTAATGTCCCCTTGTGGAGACACGTCACCCTGTGAGGAGGTGCCAACTTGTTCAGAGGTAGCCTGGGGATCTCTTGACACAGGCCTGCATTTCCCAGTGCTGATGTACCCTTAAGATCTCATATCCTATCATGCGTTCAGTCAGTAGCTTCAAGCAAACTGATTTTGGGGGAACTGGAAACATTCATTCGCTCTGGCAATATAATGTCTTTCAGGAAAGGAGAGGGAGAAATTAATTCATAACCGTAAGAGCAGCCATACTACTTCAGATCAAGGGTTCATCTCACCCAGCCTTATCCTGTTTCCAACACTGGCTCTAAATAGGCATCTACAAAGAGTAAAACAGCGCAAGCATACATGATGCTTCCCCCAGTATTCTAGCAACCTTCATTACTGTGTACAAATTAGTAGGAAATCTGTAAAAAATGTTTGCTTACCTTTCTCACATGTTTTTCCCATAAAACCAGGAGGACAGATGCATTCTCCAGTGTCTTCATGACATATGCCATTATTCATGCAAGCAGGGCAGTGGGAGCTACAGGAAGGGCCCCATTTCTGAGCTTCACACCCTTTTATGCAAAAACGTAAGGGCATATTAATTGTTTTATTGTTCCGTAGCTAGTCAACCAGTACAACTCTTTCTGATTAGGCAAATAGTAAAATATAGAGCAATAAGATCCGTATGGATCCCCAAAGTCCTGGCCAGCTGACCTAATGTAAGGAGTCACTTTTTGCATTGTAGAAATGCCCCCACTTCTGGAGCAAAACAGTTTCATAGTGCACAGTAACATTATATAACTTCAATAATCCTCATATATACTCTTCAGGGAAGGAACTGAAATAGTGTTTCCTTTTTGAAACTAGCAGTAGTTTTTTTTTTTTTTTAAATTTGGAAAAATTAGTTTAGAAGTTGGCAAAGATGTTATGTTTAATTTTTTTGTTCCTGCAGCATGGATCCAAGACCTATAGACGTTTCAGGGCACTGTACTCTGGTTCACCTAGAACTAGCTGTGCTAATACTACACTAGCAAGTCTGAGCTTGGCATTGTTGGCATTGTGCTAGCATTTGGCAAGCCATGACTTTCTGTAACAAGATTTTTCTTTGAAGTACACTAGGTCAGTTTCATCTCTGTTGTATCTTTCCTATCTTCATAGTATCTTTATAACAAGGCTCAATCAACTGATGACCTGTTTCCAGAAGAATGGACTAAGAACAATCAGTATAAATGTCAGTTCTAATGCCTGTTAGGATTTTCTTTCCCATTTTTTAATCTAAAAATATACCACTAGCATTAATCCTGTCAGTGCAAGTTTTGACAGTGTTTTAGCAGAAGCTGAGCTCAGGCTCTCAACTTCATTACAAGAACATATGATCCCATCATGCAAATGCTTGATCTATCCCTGCAAAAAGCAAAATTCTCTCATCTGCTTTTGAAGTCAGTGGGAGCTGAGAGGACTCAATAATTTTCAGTATTTGATTTCTGACAGTCTTTCTTACATCATAGCAAGTGCTCTGCATTAATCCCTCTAATGCAAAGCCAGGAATGAAAAGGTGAAAAACTGGGAAGTCCTGAGGCAGACTCACTTAATATGGAGTAATCCAGACTTGGAACAGCATTTTCAGATTTCAGTGTGCATTTCATGAGTCAACATAGCATGTAGACCTCCTTTTCCTCCTTCTCCTAAACGAAACTCTTAAATGTGAATACTTAGGGAAAAAGCCTTGCTAAAAACCTCAGGCTAAATCTGTAATAGTAAATCAAAGAAAGCCGGGACACATATTTGAGCAGTAGCATGCAATCATCCATTCTGTTTATTGTTAGCATGCTCTGTAGGACTCTCCAAAACTATGCCTGCTGAGCGTTCCCAATAGGTAAGATGGACAAAGCTTTTATATTCCAAAGGTGAGGAGAATTTGTGGATATGTCATCTGCTGTGCAGCTTGGCCTTAGAGCAGAGAACGGAACGCAGACCATTTTATCTAGCAAATGTGGCAATAGTTTTAAAATCCAAACTTAGGGCTTACATTGGTTCATTTGCAACTCCTGGAAACATCCTGTGGATGTTAGCAAATAAAATTTGTTTGACTATCAAAAATATTTGTATAATGTAAGAGCTTTGAAGAGGTATTTATTTTCACATTATTTATTTTGCATACCTATTCAAGTAAAGGGAATATAATTTTGTTTACATTTGATGAAAATGAGCATGACAGCGTGACCTGTGATGGTTCATGAAATGAAAATAATGCAAACTAAAGGTGATTATCTAAGTATAAGCATGGTTTGGATCCAGGCCACTGCAGAGAAAGAAGGCATTTAAAAATTCCTATTTTGTTCTTAGATCCACATCTGATATTTATGGAAGCTTCTATCCTTTCTTTTTTGTTCACACTTATTTGATGTTTGAAAAGCTGAGATGCTGGTAAAATAGCTCTTTCTCCTGATCCTAGCTAAAATGATTTGACTAAATTTGATATTATTATTTTTTCCCTCACAGTCACTTAAATCAGTATCAACTTATACCATTGCACAAAAATTTCTTCTAACATAATGTGATGGCAGCTTACGCCAAGAAAGGATCAGGCCCTTTCTGGGAACAGTAGAAGTTTCATCTTAGATTCATTACAACTTCAAACAATGAACCATCAGCATGTGTTAATGAAACTTACGTCTTACAATAAGCCTTGTGTAAGCAGAAGTAAAGAGGTTTCCTCCTATATATCTGGCAGAGTAAACCCCTGCATCTTGTGGCTGAACATGAGAACAGGATACTTCCAGCTCACCTGGCACTTCATGCCTGGGCACAGAGTGAATGAAGGAACCTGGGGAAAGATCACACATGCGCAACAGACAGGTCATTCACCCTTTACAGTCAGATGAGCTTGAATCAGTTACTAAGGAAAGACAGTGGGGATGAACTGAGCAGCAAAATGTGTTTATTGGTTATGAATTTGCTGATAGGTCTTTAGCCGTACTAGAGTTTTTGATGTTTGGAGAGGTGCAAGTAAAAGCAAAGCTAGATCTTGAGAAGGTTGTACATATGAAAGGGACAAATAACTTTGAGTTAAGCATTACTTTGCAAGAGTGTTTTTAAGAATCTAGTGACAAAAAGTGTTAATTTTGTTTGTTGGCCTTTCTAGGATTGAGGGATTACTCTGTAAAAACTCTAAATGGAATCAAATAACAAATGCTAACCGTGTCCTATGTCATCTCAGTAGCAGAGGGATCTACTAAGCAGACCAAAGCAGGAAGAGCACAGTATGGCTTTATTTTTATTTCCTAGAGTTAACATGTTTCTGTCTCTACTATTTTTTCACCAAGGGAGCTTATCTGTGTTATTCTAGGCTTGCTGTAGTCAGCCTGACTTGCTAAATAGGACAACAGTATTCAATCTTCCCCCACCCCACTGGATCACTGAGTAACAAGATTGGCGTGTTGATTTCTGTCAAAGATAAGCTGAATCCATTGGACTTCAGGACCCATGGGAGTCTTCCCATCTCAGCCTGCTAGGACCAGGCTGGTACCAGGTCCAGGCTGAGCAGGTATCACCAAAACACACATGTGCACATACACACACACACATTCACCGTACAGACAAAGCCGGCCACCAACAGAGGAGGGTACACACACAGGGGAACTGTGTCTTTTCAGGCACTGCAAATGCACAAGAGCGCTCGCATACACTTCCGCAGTGCAAGCTGTCTGATTGTGCTCTCATTTGCCAGCTAGTCAGGCTTGCTAGCAGATCTCACACACTCACCCCTCCAGTAACAGGCCTCTCCAGTAGCTGGCCTGGACCTATGGTCTCTCCAATAGCTGGCTCTCAGACCTCTTATCCTACTCACTGGCTAGCCTGGCTTGAATTTCTCTAGTGGGGCTCCCTCGACCCCTAGCATCTGTCTCCAGTTGCTGGGACTCAGACCTGTTGTCCTACCTGTCTGCTAGTCTGGCACGAAGGTCGTTAGTGGATCATGCACATGCACGCAGGAAAGAGAGCATACTCACCAAGGAAAATAGTTAAGGATGGAGTTTAGTAAGATAGGACAAACTGCAGGGTAGGTCTTAGCCAGACAAGTGTACTGAACTGCAGCTTGTACATATACAAATCCTCCTTCCTCTTCATTTTCCCGTGCTTGCTCCTCCTTAGTTCACTTTGGTTCCTTCTCTTTCTTCTTTTTTCTCTGTCTCTAAATATCCCATAATCACAGCCCCCTCAATTATGACATAGTGGGTTTGCTCTTTCCCCAGGAGCTATGTGATAATCCTGTTTCCCCCTTTTTATCAGTTGCAAAGCTCTGGCAGAAGCTCCTCAGGGCTTTGCACGGTGGCCCTTCAATCAGAGATTAGGGAACTCTGGGCTTTTGTGGTGTCTCTGTTACCTTCTGCTCCTTAGCATTTCTGTATCTGGGGGTTTATATTCCTTCTCAGGCATCCTATCTTAGTCTTTAATGCTGAATGGCATTAACCAGATGGTAGGCTTACAAACCAGGTACCCTTACTATCCACATATCCTTACAGTTACAATGATAATAAAAAAAAAATAAGGAGTCAGAGAACTTTTTTCACTTTGCTGAAACTATTTAGGAATTAAGGAAAATAGTGTCAGGCAAGATCTTTACTATCTGTGATCATACCATCTGATAGTCAAATGGCAGTATTTCAGGCAGCCTAAGAACACAAAAGTTTATTGAGGATCACAGTAAAAACAGCAAACAGGTCTTGGGTAAGCTTAATCCATGCAACACATAAAAGCTCTTGAAGAAAATGAGACCAAAGGAAAAGAGTGAAGGATGAAAATGAATTATTCGGAATTGCAGGGCTTTTGCACATTTTTGAGTTACAATCGGCAAAGTTGGCAGCAAAGTATTAGAAAGTCTAGCACCTTACACTCAGAGTCTGCTAATGAGGTTGTTTTTGTGGCCCATTATCTAAGACAGCATGTTATGTTTATGGCTTAAAGGAACCTTGTTTAGGAGAAAGGTTTGGTTAACAGACAGCCTTTGTGAGGGTCTACAAAGAGGAACTTGATACTTTAGGACACTGAAGTAAAAGAGAGCAGCAGTCAAACATTTCAGGATGTGTTTTTTTCTTATCCCTGCCAGGTACTGCATCAGGAATCCTGAAAGAAGATGTTTCAGTGGTAGTATCAGGAGGAGGACTTGACCTATTGTCCAGAATCATGGCTAATTTGGGGCTCTTTGACACATTTCCAGTGGGAAGCCCAATTAAAGCAGGACCAGTATGTGAACACTACTGCTCAAATGCATCAGTGGGTTTTTATATGGCAGAATACTGACGGAGGTCACAAAATTTCCTCTGGGATACTGAAAGGAAAGTAGTGGCAAACCTTCTGTACTGTGCACTGTCCTAGAGGAATCTCTGAAGAGTGAAGAAACAGATCCTTAAGAAATTCTGCTTTGCATATTGCCTTTTAAAGACACCTTGTGGTTATTTTTCTCCTCCAGCCTGTGGAGAAGTGCTCCAATTATTCAGTAACTGGGGGTAGGGCTGGCCCATAGTTTACATTCCTTTGCAGTGTACTGACACCTATTTCCCTTGTCCTGTTCTACTTAGTCCCAGCCTGTTTCCTGATACCTTACTCTAAGCCAGACTATTAGGACACAAAGATGGGCTGGTATGTTGCATATGCTTCGCACCGCTGAAATGTATTGGGGTTTAACATCCTGATGAAATATGAATGCACTGTGAATTTAACCATTCATATATTGGTACATTTCTATAGGAGATAGACAGTGAGCTGTACTTATTCCCAAGTGCTTAGCAGTTGGACAACTGAGACAGTTGACTGTGATTTAGGAGTTACCTTCAATAGAAAAGTTGATATCTTGAATTTTTACAGCCCAAGCCTGATTTTTACAGTTGAATGAAGTAAGGTTTAGATTTTTTTGACATCTTTCCCTTTTCAATAGAAGATTACTCATGCTTAATTTCTTATCCTGAAGTGCATCATCAAATTAAAGTCACTTCTAAAAGCCATATGAGGCAGGAAAGGTATGCACATGAAAGCAGTAGAAACACAAAGAAAGTTGAAATAAAGATGTCTAACGAGCAGCACAGCAAAAAGAGATGCCAGCAAAAGATAGGAGGAGATAGGGTAGGAAATGAAAAGGGAGAATGAGAAACAAAATCAAGGCACAAAGAGGATTTGGCATTCTGGAGGAAAAACAAATAAGCAGATCAGCTCAACACTTAGGTGTGACAAATGAGTCTGTTAGGCAAGGTTAAATGCAAAGAAATTATGCCTCCTCCATTTTCACAGCATGAGTATCATCAGCAATGATTTTAGTGAAGTTCTGTGGGGATTTGGCTAAGAAAATGAAAGTTGGAGAAGAGAGAAGACAGAGATTAATTACCATTTTTGTAGATCACTGCATCTTCCTCTTTTGCTGCCATTCTGATGAAGGAAATATTCACATGCTCTCCCTTATTTGCTGTAACAGTTAAGGCCACCGGGTGGAATGAAGCTGAAATCAAAACAGGAAAATAGTATGGGATCGATAATAACAGTTCTTATGTCTGTGTGATCCCTGGCCTGAAAGCTGAGAATAGTTTACAGCACACCCTTCTTCATAGCTTCTATTTTTAAATTTCCTTATAGCATTCATTTATCCTTTTAGCACCAGCGACCTCGACCTTATGTTTTGGCGGGGATAGAGAAAACACCTATGCCCTGGAACAACAGAGTGTGGCTTGAACCTGGGCTATAAAATTTAAGAGGAATTTGGCTGAGTAATTACTCAGTGGAAACACTTCTTAACTGGGAGCTCCAACTGTCTGTGAAATACTTTCCCAAATTTCTTCATCCCTTGAGACATTTTTAAATGCAGGCTGGATAAAGTACTGGAAACTATTGTAGGGCACAAGCTGTCATTGGCAGATAAATATAGCCTGAGTGACTCGTTTCTTTTCTGCCTAAGCTTTATGATGTAGAACAGTCACGGCGGTTCAGGAGACCACAATCAGGTAGGGTTAGCAGGGGACGCAGTTAAGATAGAGGAGGCCTGTGCTTGTGTTAATTCACCATACTTTCCATAAATAATGAGAACATTAGTTTGCACTGAGAAGAAAAGAGTAAACGATATTCACAGCTAGTATTATTTTTATGGAAAAATACCTGTATCTGAAAATGTAGCTTAATTAAAATAAAAATATTCCAGGAGGAAATGTCTAGATCAGTGGCATTTTTCAATTTTCCAAATGAAAATTCAAATTAATTTTACTACTCAAATAGAAAAACATTTTAATGCAATTTTT